AGCTCAGCTCTCACTGTCCCTCACCGAGCTCAGCTCTCACTGTCCCTCACCGAGCTCAGCTCTCACTGTCCCTCACCGAGCTCAGCTCTCACTGTCCCTCACCGAGCTCAGCTCTCACTGTCCCTCACCGAGCTCAGCTCTCACTGTCCCTCACCGAGCTCAGCTCTCACTGTCCCTCACCGAGCTCAGCTCTCACTGTCCCTCACCGAGCTCAGCTCTCACTGTCCCTCACCGAGCTCAGCTCTCACTGTCCCTCACCGAGCTCAGCTCTCACTGTCCCTCACCGAGCTCAGCTCTCACTGTCCCTCACCGAGCTCAGCTCTCACTGTCCCTCACCGAGCTCAGCTCTCACTGTCCCTCACCGAGCTCAGCTCTCACTGTCCCTCACCGAGCTCAGCTCTCACTGTCCCTCACCGAGCTCAGCTCTCACTGTCCCTCACCGAGCTCAGCTCTCACTGTCCCTCACCGAGCTCAGCTCTCACTGTCCCTCACCGAGCTCAGCTCTCACTGTCCCTCACCGAGCTCAGCTCTCACTGTCCCTCACCGAGCTCAGCTCTCACTGTCCCTCACCGAGCTCAGCTCTCACTGTCCCTCACCGAGCTCAGCTCTCACTGTCCCTCACCGAGCTCAGCTCTCACTGTCCCTCACCGAGCTCAGCTCTCACTGTCCCTCACCGAGCTCAGCTCTCACTGTCCCTCACCGAGCTCAGCTCTCACTGTCCCTCACCGAGCTCAGCTCTCACTGTCCCTCACCGAGCTCAGCTCTCACTGTCCCTCACCGAGCTCAGCTCTCACTGTCCCTCACCGAGCTCAGCTCTCACTGTCCCTCACCGAGCTCAGCTCTCACTGTCCCTCACCGAGCTCAGCTCTCACTGTCCCTCACCGAGCTCAGCTCTCACTGTCCCTCACCGAGCTCAGCTCTCACTGTCCCTCACCGAGCTCAGCTCTCACTGTCCCTCACCGAGCTCAGCTCTCACTGTCCCTCACCGAGCTCAGCTCTCACTGTCCCTCACCGAGCTCAGCTCTCACTGTCCCTCACCGAGCTCAGCTCTCACTGTCCCTCACCGAGCTCAGCTCTCACTGTCCCTCACCGAGCTCAGCTCTCACTGTCCCTCACCGAGCTCAGCTCTCACTGTCCCTCACTGAGCTCAGCTCTCACTGTCCCGTCACTGAGCTCAGCTCTCACTATCCCTCACTGAGCTCAGCTCTCACTGTCCCTCCCTGAGCTCAGCTCTCACTGTCCCTCACTGAGCTCAGCTCTCACTGTCCCCTCCCTGAGCTCAGCTCTCACTGTCCCTCACTGAGCTCAGCTCTCACTGTCCCTCACTGAGCTCAGCTCTCACTGTCCCTCACTGAGCTCAGCTCTCACTGTCCCTCACTGAGCTCAGCTCTCCCTGTCCCCTCACTGAGCTCAGCTCTCACTGTCCCCTCACTGAGCTCAGCTCTCCCTGTCCCCTCACCGAGCTCAGCTCTCACTGTCCCCTCACTGAGCTCTGCTCTCACTGTGCCTTATTGAGGCCAGCCCTTATCACCCCTTCTTGAGGCCAGGTCTCATTGCCCCGCTCCATGAGGCTCTGGGGACTCTGCACAGGCTGGGAGAGCAGGTCTGTGCTTTGGGAAGTGGGAGAGGGTTTGCATTAGGCAGGAATTGCCACAGCAGAGGGGCTGAGCTGACCAGGGAGCGCCTGGCAGGGCTAGAGGTGCTCTGTGTGTTACTGTAATGTTTTTAGGCTGTGAAGTGTCTTCGCAAGGAAGGGAGCCAGGCAAAGGTGGAGAAACCTGTGGTGGTCACTGAGCACCATCACGGGGCCTTTTACTGGTGTACAGTGGAAACAAGCTGGATTCAGCAGGGGGCTGTTCCTGGAAACTCCAGGAGCTGCATTTCAAGGTGTTTGGAGCAGGATCTCTCCACCTCCATTCCACTCAAGCTGAGCTCCAGCAGAGGCAGGCAGTGAGGGCTGGTGTGCAGATGAAACCATAAATCGAGGTAATTAGCCTGGCTCTGCCCAAATTCAAATCCCAGTTACAGCCTGGAAAGACATCTTGAGAGAACACTGCACAATGGGACATTTCTGTGTTCAGCCCTGGACTGCCTGGATGTTCTCACTGAAGTGTCTCAGCTCCCAGTTTGACTCTGCCTGTCTCAGCCTTTTTTTTTTTTTTTTTGCCACGTTGACACTTGGGTGGCTGTTGACAACCTGGTTTTGCTTTCCCTGCTAGTGGTACTGGAGAGCAGAGCTGGTCCTGGAGTCCATGATCCCTGCAGATGTGTCCAGAAATGCAGCACAGGGAGAGAGCACAGACAGGCCAGGACAGCTGCCAGCACAGAGATGCTTTTGCAGGGACAATGGTAGGATTTGGTTTTTATTTTAAGGCAGGTTTTTTTTAAAAACACATTTTGTTTCAATCAGTTCAGATTCACTGCCCCAGCAAACACATCCAAACCAAGTGTACAAACCTCCCATGTGTGGAGGATGTGCTGTGGATGTTGGGAAGAGGCTGCCCAGAGCAGCTGTGGCTGCTTCTGAATCCCTGGCAGTGCCCAAGGCCAGGCTGGGTGAGGCTTGGAGCACCCTGGGGTAGTGGAAGGAGGGTGGAATGGAATGAGCTTTGAGGCCCCTCCACACCCAAACCATTCCATGACTCCATGATTCTGACCCAATCTCCTCCTCAGAAGCAAAAGCTCTGGAGACAATCTGGGATGTTCCTGGTGTGCAGCAGGGCTGAGAAGCAAGGCTGGCTTTGCACTGTGGCACCACTTCCTCACTGTGCATCCAGCTGGGAGAAGTCTGTGCTGCTCCTTCACTCATCCTGCTCAGGGTGGGCTCGGGGTGGGGTTTCTCTCTGCTCCCAGCACAGATGGGAGATGAGGGTTTCCTGGGGCAAAGACTTTTCTAAGGAAACCTCCTGCTGCAATCAGAGCCTCACGTGCTGCTGCCCTGGGACTGCTGCCAGCACACTGTGACACTGAGGTGGCTGGGGAGGTTTGGCTGGGAGCATCCAAGGAGAGGGTCCTGGGGCAGCAGAGGGAGGGCAAAGCCTGTCCTGGCACACAGGTGGCAGCAGCTGTTTCCCAGTGGCAGCTGGACACAGAGACCCTGGGGGATAACCGTGTGTCATTGTTTGGGGCCCTGCCTTCCACCTCCCCGTGCCTTGCTCACAGATGGTTTCCAGGCCTGGAATGCCCATTCAGGCACTGGGAAAAGCACAACAAATTTGTTGGAAAGGTGACTGGAAGATCAGGACGTGGTAGAGAGGCTGATTTCTGCCCCAGGGTGGGTGGCTGGAGTGTGGTGCTCACAGCTGGCTCTCACCCACACATCTGCAGCACAACTGCCCAGGGAGGCGTGTTAAGGAAAGCTTTAGTGGGAATTTGGGGAGGAATGGGCAGCAGCTGCAGGGCCTGGCCCTGGGAGCACAGGGTGGGTGCCAGGAGCACACCCTCAGCTCTGGTCTGTGCTGGAGCCACTGTCCTCAGTCCCAGTCTCCCCCAGCAGAAATCACAGCCATTTCTTGGGAAAACCCCACCTTTGGGTAATTAAAAAACCCCAAGCAGTCCCTGCCCAGCCCCCTGAGGTATTTGCCCTGAGTGTGGAGGTGGCAGTGTGGAGGGCCCAGCAGCACACAGAGACTCAGAAGGGCTTTCTGAGCTGGCTCCTCTCACAGGTTGCCTCCCACTTGCTAAAGGGCAGGTTGCTGTGGGGCCACCCAGGATTGCCCCTCAGGCAGGGAGCTGTGCTGCCCTGAGCCAGTCCAAATAACACAGGAGCAGAGGGGCCAGGCGCTCCCTTGTCTCTGCTCCTCCATCCCTGGCTGCAGATTGCTGGAAGATCTGCCAGCGAGTCCTCTGGCTGCTGCCTGAGGGCTGTTGTGTGCAGCTGATTTTTTATTAGACTTTGCAAAATTTTGCTTTTTATCACCCAGTGTGGAGGATGGAGCCTGAACTCGGAGCTGCCGGCTGGGTTTGGCCACTGAGCTGCTGACCCAGGTGCCTCCAGCCAGGGCTCCAGCGCTGGCACGGATGGCAGGGATGGCAGAGCACGGGGCTGTCTCTTTAAGGCAGAAACGGGAACTCTCTGGCTGCCACTTTGTGGAGTTTAGCCCAGCTCCCTGTTTTCATTAGCGCTTCATTTCATCTCCTCCTCTCCCCCCCAGCCCCACCTCCTCGATCGGCATTTCTGCATCCTTTGTGTGCATCCACAGCAGCAGGTGAAGGTCGGGCTGGCACCTGCACACACCCACTCCCACACCTCCCTGTGGGCTGGACGCTCCTCCGCCGCGGGAGAGATCCCTTCCACCCTGCGGATCTTCCTCCTCCCGGGCGGGCTTGGCTGCGAGCATCCCGGTCCTCGCTTGAGGCTGCTGTGCCGCTCCTGACGGCTCCGGCTGCAGCAGCTGCAGCAGCGGAGGAGCTCTGGGACCCCGGGGACAGAGCTCTGCAGGGAGCCCAGCTCAGCTGGGGAGCGACAGCTGAGCCTCGGGGGGCTGGAGCATCCCCAGCATTTGGAGCATCCTGGAGTCCAGAGCATCCCCAGCGTCCAGGGTATCCTGGGTACAGAGCAGCCCTGGCATCTGGAATATCCTGGGATGCAGAGCATCCCCAGCATCTGAAGTGCAGAGCATCCAGAGCATCTCGGCATTGTATTATCCTTTGGTCCAGTGCATCCAGAGCATCAGGGTATCCAGAGCATCCTGCCATCCCTGGTATCTTGGGAACCCTGCCTTCCAGCTCATCGCCAGCATCCAGAAGCAGCATCCAGAGGCATCCCAGAGCAGGGGGATTTACAGGAACTGCTGTGAGTAATGGGGAGGGAACCTTGGTCCTGCTGATCGGCTCCTGGGAATGTCATCCTGCCCTGAGTGCCAGTGAAGAGAGACAGTGGGGAAAGAGAGGGAGAGAGGAGAGGAGAAGGGAGGACAGACACAGAGTGCAGAGAGATGATCCTCCTTCCCCTGCCCCAGTGATGATCACATAGCACAGGCCACGCTGGAGAAGGTCCCCAGCCCAGGGCCAGCCCTGCCCCCGGCTCCTCATGGAGGGGGACCTGGGGGCCCCCAATGCCAGCGTGCTGGGGGAGCACTCCCTGCTCATGGGCAGCAGCTGGGTGGCCGCCTTCCTCTGCTTCATCATCTTGCTGACCACAGCAGGAAACTTCCTCCTCATCCTACTCATCGTCACGCAGCGCTCCCTCCGCAACACCTCCAACTACTTCCTGGTGTCCCTCTTCATGTCGGACCTGATGGTGGGGCTGGTGGTGATGCCCCCGGCCATGCTCAACCAGCTCTACGGCCGCTGGGTGCTGCGGTGGGACTTCTGCTCCCTCTGGGCCTCCTTCGACGTCATGTGCTGCAGCGCCTCCATCCTCAACCTGTGCGTCATCAGCCTGGACCGGTACCTGCTCATCACGTCCCCGCTCCGCTACAAGCTGCGCATGACGTCCTGCAGGGCGCTGGCGCTCATCCTGGCCACCTGGAGCTTGGCCGCGCTGGCCTCCTTCCTGCCCATCAAGATGGGGTGGCACGAGCTGGAGTTCCAGGTGCGGCCCCTGAACGTCACCGGCCGCGGGGACGAGGACCAGTGCCGGCTGCTGGTCAGTCTGCCCTACGCCCTGGTGGCCTCCTGCCTCACCTTCTTCCTGCCGTCCGCCGCCATCTCCTTCACCTACTGCCGCATCCTGCTGGCGGCGCGCAAGCAGGCCGTGCAGGTGGCCTCCCTGGCCTCCAACGTGGCCACCACCGACGAGGCCACGCCACAGGTAAGGTGCCCACAGGGACGTTGCTCTGGCAGATCCCACAGTTTGGGTGCCTGGGCTTTTCTGCTTCCTGGATGGCCTCAGGGTTGGAGCCAGCTTTGACAACTGCAGGGAGGGAGATTTTGGGCAACATCCACCTCCTTGACATCCTCTGAGGTGCCCCATGCCTCGTCCCAGCAATGGAGAGCTCTGAAGCTGCTCATGAGCACAGAAACAGCGTGAGCAGAAGCAGAGAAATAAATAAGATTCAGGCAAAAATGCTCAGCAGTGCAAAATAAATGCAGTTTCCCCCCTCTCTTGGCTGGCGTCATCCCCGAGGGGTTTAATCTTATCTGACTTTCCACTCATAAATCTTGGCCGTGGTGGGTGTGAGACATATGGGGGAGAAGGATTTTAACTAATAGCAAATGCCAGATTCCCAAGAGCACCTTATTTTGAACAGAAGCTTCTATTTTTGTTACCTGCTCTATAACAGGAGCTGCCAAACCCCTCCTCGTGTGCTCGCCGGTGGAACCGGAGTGTGTGGGTTTTATAACAAAAACGTGGCTGCACTTGTTTGTATTTCTCCAGGAGAAGGTAATTGCCACTAAATCTAACAGCTTTAATTCCCTGTAATAGGCTTTATTGACCTCATATCCTACAGGGAAAAGGCAAACTTAATTGCCTTTAAATACTTTGATTGAGTTTATTCTCTCCAAAAGCAGAGCCAGGACTCTGGCCAGCTCTCCCACACGTGATAAGCTGCACCAGACGGTCAAATGAAAAGGACAATTAAAGAATAAACACACAATATGATAAAGTATTTATTTTCTCAAAGGATGCCAAGTTTTGGACTCCACAGAGTCAGGGGATGTTTCAGGGCTTTGCTGTGCCATGCAAGAGCAGCACCCATCCCCCTGTCATTCAGCTGAGGCCCAAAAGGTTCCTTGAAGACCCAGATTGGCTGAGGAAAAAGGTTCCCTTGCTGGCACCCCTCAGATTCATTTTTTAACCTTTTTCACCTTTATCTAATTTTAGAGACTTTTTGTTCTCTTTTTGGGCCGGAAGCTGAGTTGCAACAGGGCATCATTTAATTACAGGGGAGGGCTGAGATAATCACTTAATTTTAGATTGCAGGAGGGGATGGAGGGCTGGGTTATGGTGTTTGGAGGCTGACATGTTTCATGTCCTCATTTTAAAACCATAATTAGTTTGCTGCTGTAATCAGCAGCTGGAGCTGCCTGTTTAGGACAGGCTTTATCCTCACATGGACTGAGCTGGGTTTTTCTCTAAAGAGCAGCCTAATGACAAACACACTATTTTACAGTAAATAAAATCATACCCTCAGTGTTGAGGGTTGCTATTGCTTCCCCTTCCTAATTTGTGCTTCAGCAGTGTGTGCCCAGCTCCTGCCCCTCGGAGAAAGGAATTCCTGGCAGGGTTTTTGCAGGATCTGGAGCACCAAATGCCACTTTTCTTGGGCAGAGGCCAGTGCTGCTGCCAGGGAGAGTTGCCCACCACTCCCTGTCTCTGGCCACAGGTCCCACGCACCCCGAGCCAGCCCCTGGCCAGCAGCGAGAGCAGGAGGTTCACCAACAAGCACAGCAAGAAGGCTCTGAAGGCCAGCCTGACCCTGGGCATCCTCCTGGGCATGTTCTTTGTGGCCTGGCTGCCCTTCTTCGTCACCAATGTAGCTCAGGTAAGAGCCTGTGGGAGCTTTGTGTCGGGTTTCCAGAAGTTTTCCCTTTGGAATCCAGCTGGGTTCAATTGGAGGCACCAGAAGGTCTTGCTAGACCTCTGCGGCCAAGGTTGCAATTCCCCAGGGAGCAACAGCAAGGGAAAAACCCTTCAAAAGGGATTGGAAGGTTTCCTCTGAAAGGGGAATGTTGGTGTGCCCGAGAAACCCCTCTGGGTTGGGGCTGCGGTGGGAGGCTGCTGATGCCTGCTGTGTCCCCCCAGGCAGTTTGTGACTGTGTCCCGGCCGGATTCTTCGATGTGCTCACTTGGCTGGGCTACTGTAACAGCACCATGAACCCCATCATCTACCCGCTCTTCATGAGGGACTTCAAGAGGGCCATGGGCAAATTCCTGCCCTGCTGCCGGCGCTCGGCGGAGCCCCGGCCCAGCGCCATCTCCCTGTCCATGAGGAATTCCAACAGCGGGCCCCGCGCTGCCACCTCCCTCAAGAACGTCCTGACCCTGCAGGCTGAGACCGACTCCATCGACTCCGGGGCACCGGGCAGTGAGCCCAGGCTGCTCCCGGCGCCGCGGGGCCCCGGCGCCCGCTCCGGCAGCCTTTGGGACGCCGAGCCCCCGGACACGGAGCTGCAGCTCGGCACGCCCGTGGCCTGAGCGGGCGCACATAGCTCGCTGTGACAGAAGGATCCCCTCACAAACCCTCTGGGAGCTGATTTGCCACAAGCCATCTCCCCGGCTCCCTGTTCCAGCACACAGTGCAGCTCATGGAAGGGATGGTGGCCCCGGGCGCTACCACAAGGAGGATCAAACCGTGCAGAGCCAGGTGTTGCTGCTGAATTAACCAGCTTTGTCTCTCTCTCTTTCATCCCTCCTGTGCTCACCACCACCACCGTCCCCTAACCCTTCCTCCGGCCTTCCCATCTCTGGTGAGTCTGAACCTCGGATTCCAGACTCTGTGTCTCACTAACCTCAAGCCAAGGCTTGGCTTTGCACACACAGAGCTCAGCAGATCTTCTCCAAGTGCACTGAGGGGAGTGGTGGAAAAACATCCTGTGGCTCATGGGCAAGAGGTTTAGAGCTGCTTCAGCAGGAACACTGAGGTTTGGGGCTGCTTCAGCCCACGGAACATCACATCTTCCTGGAGCTGGGGCTGGATCTCCTCCCTGGAGTCGTGTCTGTCTCAGGTTCCTGTCACAGTGCACTCCAGCTCAGCAGCACCGCCGTGCCTTGTCATGTAGAGCTGCACTGCGGGGGCTGAATTTGGTGCAGAGTGTCCAACACTGATTTTTGGATGTTCAGTGGGGGTGTGGGGTGCGACTCACGGTGGCTCCACGCGTGTCTCACAGTAGTAATGGGATCAGCTCCTCCCACAGGCTCCATCCCACAGCTTCCCACTCCTGCACATCCCATCTCGCTTCCCTCCGACAATTCATCATGTCCTCGATGATGCAGTTAGAAAATACACTTCAGCTAAGAATCTAAAGGAAAATTGTATTTTAAATGACAATGCCAGCCCCCTTCCCAGAGCCATAAGCAGAGGGAACACTGAGTAAATGTGACAAGTGGGCACTTCAAAAAAATCAATAAAATAAATTATTTTAGTAAAGTCTTTCTCAAGTGCCTTTGGGCTGGCAGTTGGCTGCTGTGCCCTCCCTGGATCCTTCACTCCAAGCCTTCTGCCTAATTCCAAGACTGTTTTCCTGGAACTCCCTGATACCCAAATGGACACAGAGCATCCCCTGGATACAGCATGCTGCCAGAAGCAGCCACACACCAGGCCACTTTCAGTTTTCTTTCCACATTGCCCACAGCTCTTCCAGAACTGAACAGGAGTTTGTATGACCAAGCCAGCATTTCTTTGCCACAAATCCCTTGGGAGCCAGGGATGGGTGAGTGGGACACACTGAGGGCTGAGCACAGGCTCAAACCTCAAACTGTTCAGTGCATTTTGCTGCAGATGGAGCTTGGGGCTGGTGTTGAGCACCCAAATCAAGATGTGCATCTTCCCCCAATGGCTTTGTATAAATACAAGTTTGGACAACAACCCAGGTTAAAAAGGAGCAGAAAAAGATACTGTGGAGTCTGGAAGTTTGTTAGGTATCAAATCAGCCTCTGGAGATGGACAGAGAGAGAGGGAGAGTCACCTCTTCAAGCCAGATGTTCAAAAGCAATAATTCCTTCCTGTCTCATGCAGGCAGTTCTGTGTAAGTAGGTGTTTGCTTGTGGACAAACCCTTGGATGAGCAGAGGAATCCCATCCCAACCCTGCAGCCAATGGCACCACCAGCAGCTGGCTGAACAGCCCCATCCCTGTGGGATCCCACAGTCAGTCCCTGTGGTCTCTGCAGTGAGGCACCCCTCCAGGTCAGAGCTGGGCAGCTCTGAGCCCCTGGGATGCTGGATTTAGGGAGAGCAATTGCCAGGCACTGCATCCAAACCACGGTGCTTTGCTGGGTCACAGCATCACCCCCAAAGCCAGCTGTGTCTGACTCCATGAGGAATGATCTGCAGGTAAGGTTTGCAGGAAGCTGGGAATGGGAGGGGGGATTAACATGGCTGTTGGCTCAGTGGGGAGGAGGAGGGGGAGAACCCTGTGTGAACAAAATTGGGAAGGTATTTTCCCTCAGTATTTTCCCTCTCATAAGTCAACAGGACCCCCCAGATGGAGGTGGGAGAGTTTGAACACTCCCTTGTGGCAAAGCATAAAACCCCAGAGGGGATTACCCTCCTGCCACACTCCTGACTGGTGCACTTGCCTGGGCTCAGCAGCAAAACTGGCCAGAAAAGGGGCTTTTATGGAAGATGTGGATCGTTCCCACAAGGCTCTGGAGCTGTGCTGGCAGGGGATGTAGAGCTGGGTCCTTTCCTCTGCTCTGAGACTGGGGATGAAGACAGTGGAGCCAACACACTTTTATGGAAGGAGGTAGAAATCAAACAGATCCATGTTTATTCTGTGCCAAGTATTGGCTTTGTTCTAAGCCAATTAAAAATATGTCTGGATGGAGCTTTTAAGGCTGGAGACATGTGTGGGACACAAAAGGAAAGTCTCAGTGGGTTGCTGGCTTGGAGAACTTGGGAGGAATTTTCATAAACCATCCAAAACCCCCTTGGTTTTCCTGCTGCTTTCTCCCAGGGTCCCAAACATGTTTCTAACAGGAATAGGACGTCAAACACCCACCAACCTCAACCTGGACACAGGGAAACCATCTTGGAGATGGGAAAGTGCCCGAGCCCTGGCAGCAAACCTGCAGCAGGTGGGGGAAGAAACCCTGGCAGCCCGAGCTTTTACCCTCCTGGTCAGCAGAGCTGGAGAGCAGATCCAGATCCGTCCAGAGTGGGGCAGGTAGAGCCTGGAACACACCTGAGATCCTCAAACCAAACTCATCTCCAGTGGAAAAATGGTTTTAATTTCCTAGTGATGAACCCCTCTCTGTGAAATGCTTAAAATCCCCTCAGAGCCACCTGCTTCCCCCAGTCGCAGCAGGGACACGGTGCCGAGGGTGCAGCTGCTTCCTGCAGGGATTTGGACGGGATCTGTCTCGGATTCCCGAGGAGCAGTGCAGCCTCGGGCAGGAATCAGCCCTCCCCGCCTCGGGGAGGTGCCGTGGGCGGCGGCTCCAAGCGCTTTGATCCAGTGCCACGCCAATGCCACGTTCTTCTCCGGAGGGGCTGGAAACTGCAGCTGCAGCTCCGCCAGCTCCATCCTCTGGGAATCCCAGTGCCACGGATGTGCTGACAGCGGTTTGTGTGCTGGCTGAGCAGCTCTGCCCTAATTTGCTCCCTTCCCCACTGCCTGGTCCGTGCTGTCTGTGCTGTGTGAGCACTCTGGGCAGGGTGGTGAGGCTTCTCCCAGGGCAGAGCTGGAGGAATTTTGTCGGTGAGCACAGCTGGCTGGGAGAGCCTCACTCCCAGCCTCGTCCTCCTCCTTCCTGGTGTTTTCCTGTCCCCGAGCCTCGCTGCCAGCTGCCTGCTGGGATTTCTTGGCTTGAGGGGAAAAAAGGCTGCCCTTCTCTTCCAGCTGGCATTCCTTGGTTTTAATGCCCACGGCTTTTAGGATCGTGTCCATCTGCTTCATGTAGTCCAGGTGGCCATTCACCTGCAGGGAACAAGAATCCTGTGAGGGGCAAAGCCACAGGAATCCAGCTCAGCCCTTCATCCCTTCAGCCACCACCACCGAGAGACTTGGGTTTGGCTCTGACAGATGGAAAGAATGAGGTTGGGAAAAAGTCACAGAATCATGGAATTGTTAAGGTTGGAAAAGATGTTTATGGTCATCAAGTCCATCATGTCAAGGCCACCACTAGCCCATGTCCTGAAGTGCCACATTCACATGTTTTTTGCATATTTCCACCCCTGGGTTAGTGCAGGTGTCCATCGACCAGCCTGAAGTGGCTGCAGTGCTTAGGGCACTCTGGTGCTGGATGACTTTTTCCTCTGAGAGGTTTAAAAGCCTGGCTGAGTTCCAGCCCCCAAATCCTGGGTGCCAGGAGGGTAAAGGAGGAGCTCTGCCATGGGGAGATACACCCAGGCAGGAGAGTTCTCTTAGTTCAGTTGCCTGCTCTTGCTAAAGGTGTCCTCCAGGTGCCTCAGCTCCCTTGTAAAAGCCAAGATTATCTTATTTAAATTAAGACAGAGTCATTAAACCTTACACAGCTCCCAAGATGAGATGCTCAGCTGGAAGCTGCACTGATCTATCCCGCCCTGTATAAAACTGGGAGCCCAGGAGTTATGGGTTCACATACCAAATAAAGGTCAACAGTATGTGTAAAAACCCAGACAGTTTAATTGTAAAATGAATTCCACGACAAGATAACCCTTTCTGAGATGGATGTTGGAAACTTTCCTTCCAATCAGGGCACAGGAGGAGAGGAAATCTCCTCTGCAAGTGACTATTCTTGATGCTAAAGCCACGTGGCTGGAGAGGCTGAAATTCCTTCCCCATTCCAGGTGTCCCAAGCTCTTGACTTACCAACAGCATCTCCAGATACTTCAGCCTCTCTGGTAAATCCAACTTTTAGCAGTTTAAAACTTCCTGACCCAGCCAGAGAGCAGTCTTGGCCTTTTGTTTTCCCAGACCTTGCTAGTAATTAGGGAATTTCCATGGCAGAGAATAGCCATAACCTCAGTCCCAGGATTCCTGCTTCTCAGACACAGGGGTGACACCCCCAGGAAGGGATGATGATGGTAAGAGCTTTTCACAGAGCTCTGTAAAGACCCCAGCCCTGGGCCCTCTGCTCATCTCCTGCTTGCTCCTGCCTGGTGCCAGAGCAATCCTTCAGCTGCCCTGGCAGTGTCCAAGGGCAGGTTGGACAGGGCTTGGAGCAACCTGGGATAGTGGAAGGTGTCCCTGCCATGGCAGGATGTGGCACTGGGTGGGCTTTAAGGTGTCTCCCAACCCAAACCACTGTGGGATTCATGGCTGTGCCAGCACCAGGGATCCCAGCACACCTCTCCCAAAGCTGAAGACAGCCTTTTCCCCTAAATCCAACCCCCTGAGGTGTTTGTGTGAAGCAGCTTTGGAGGGGCACATTTGGCTGCACTGAGGGCTTGGAGCAAACGGAAGGATTTAATCAGCACATCAGGAATACAAATATGTGACTTGAATCCGTCCAGATGGCTCAATGGGCTCTGGATGTTTTGAACAGATTAGTTAATTAAAATAATTAACCATGGAAGGGCTGGGAGCTGTGGACATTGTCCTCTGGAAAAGTACAACCCTTTTACTTCTCAGCCAGGGGGGCTGGAGGAAGGAATGAGCATGGCCTTGGGCAAAGTGGGCAGAGACAGGAAGGAATTGGGTTACTGGGAGCAGGGGCTGAAGGCTCTTGGTTTGCTGCATTCAGAACCTCTCCAGTCACACCATCTGCCTGCCCTGCCTTGGGAATGATCAGCCTGTTGTTACTGAGTCATTAGTCAGAGACAACAAATTTCCTCTGCCACCCTAAGGACTGATTTCATTACTCCTCAGTATCCAGCAGCTTCCACTAAAACAACAGGGAATTCCTCTTCTCTGAGCACCATGATCCCTGAGAGAAGCTGGGTATGAGCCATTCTGAGGAGCTCATGCAGCTGAAAGAAAACTGAGACCTCGTGAGAGTCTGTCCCTCTTGCAGCTCTGTTCAGTCCCTTCCAAGGAAACTCACTCCTGTCTGTAGGATAGCAGAGGAGAGGATTCCATAAAGCTGGACCAGAGCAACCCCTGGGAGGGTAAGAGGAGGGAGGATGCTTCTCTGCTGCACTGAGCCACCAGGAAAAGAACAGCAAACAAACTGTATTGCCTCTTTAAAGCCATCCTGGTGGGAAAACCCAGCAATTCCAGCTGACTAAAGCCTGTTTTCTTCTTCAGTCTGAAAGCCTGAATTCCTCTGCTGGGCAGGTGGTGCTGGAGATGGGAGGGGAACACCTACAACATTGTCAATAAAAACTTAAAAGGCAAATAAAGAATTATTTTTATATTTGTCGGAACAAAGTGCAGGGGAAATTTAGGACAAACGGAAGTGTGCTTGGCACCAGAGCAAACATATTTTTGCTTGTTGTATGGAAAGCAGTGGGGTGGATTTATTGGGATTGTTTAGGTGACCTTCCTCAGATACATTTGGTTGACTGATCCCAGTCAACCATTTGACTTTATGGTTGCTTTGACTCACTGGGAGCCACGAGCCAGGTGCCTCTGGCACTGCTGCTGCAGGACTCCAGTGCCACGCTGGGGATCTCCACAGGACAAAGCTGATGGCTTTGCCCAGGAAGATCCATCAGCCGGTCAGCTCAGCATGTTTGGAAAGCTTTTCAGGTGCAAATTCACCAAAAAGTATCAAAAAAGTCCCTGAGAACAATCAGTTATGGCAATTAAACTGCCAGGGCAGTGTTTCTGTTGGATACAGAGGATTAACAATCCTGGCTTCTCTCCGGTTTGACTGCCAGGAACTCGGCGTGTCCTGGAGCAGCTGCTGCCAAGGGAAGGGCAAGGAAGGGCAAGGAGGAAGGAGACATTTCCCACAATCCTGGCTCTCCACTGACTCAGGCACAGGCAGGACTCAGTCACAACATGGCTATCACAACACTGATGTCACAGCAATGACATCACAGGGACAAGCTCGGTACAGCAAGATAACACTGCATTGCTCACCCCAGAGCCAAGAACCTTCAGATCCTGTCCAGTGTCCTTCAATAAAAGCTCCTCCACCTATCCCAAGCAGCCAACACAGGAGTGCACATGGCTCCAAATGCTCTGCAGGGCTATGGAACTGTCAGAGCTCAGCTGAGTGGCCCTTGCCCCTCTGCTCCCTGTGGGCAGGGGAAGGACAGGGCAGCTCAGCTGGGCCTTCCTCCTGCTCCCCCTCAACAACCCCCCCATGGATTCTCAGGGAATCACTGTGGAGGCAAGCAGTGTGGTGGGGAATACACAGGTCACTCATACACCTGAGAATTTCACTGCTTTGATGTGTTTTAAGCCCATCAAGTCCACAGAACAACTTTATTCCACAGCAAAAGATCCCCTCAAATTCAAACACCTCTGCAGAGCTTGGTTATCTCAGCAGGAGCAGCAACAACCTTGGAGGGGATCCTTCAGGATTCCCTTTTGGCTAATACTGTCTGTTTTCATAGCAAGTGGTATTTTATGGGGAATGAAGGAGTTTCTGGAGTGAGCTGAAGGTTCTGGAGCTCAGTTGACAACCACAGCTCCCAGGAGCCCTCACCTCCCTGGTTGTCACACAGAGAGTGAAACCAAGCAGCAGAGCCAGCTCAGCCCCTCTGGGTATTGCTATTTTTCACTCTCCCTTTCCCAAAGCTACAGTGAATGTGATGTCCAGGAGAAGCACTGGAGCTCAGCCCTGCTCTGAACTGAACTGCCAGGTCTGGAGCTGTCAGTGCAGAAGGGAAGAAGCTGAAATGTCCCTGCAGCTTTAAAGAACTCCTCAGCTCTGGATGCTGCCTCAGAACCCACACAGCCCAAATGGTGGCACAGGCTGATGGATTGCAGGGCTATCCCTCAAAATCCAGTCAGCTCTGCCAAGCTTCTCTGGTCACAGATATTCCCACAGGTCAGTGAAAGCCTTCATTCTGACTGGCTACATCCTGCATGGCAGAGGGCATCCACACAAGCCCAGAGTGGCTTGGGCTGCAAGGGACCTTGAAGATCCTCCAATTCCACCCCTGCCATGGACAGGGACACCTTTCACTGTTCCAGGCTGCTCCAAGCCCATCCAGCCTGGCCTTGGACACTTCCAGGGATCCAGGGGCAGCCACAGCTGCTCTGAGCACCCTGTGCCAGGGCCTCCCCACCCTCACAGGAAGGAATCCCTCCCCAGCATCCCATCCATCCCTGCCCTCTGGCAGTGGGAAGCCATTCCCTGTGTCCTGTTCCTCCATGCCTTGTCCCCAGTCCCTCTCCAGCTCTCCTGGAGCCCCTTTAGGCACTGGAAGGGGCTCTGAGCTCTCCCTGGAGCCTTCTCCTCTCCAGGCTGAACAATCCCCTCTCAGCCTGGCAGAAAATGGCCTGGGTTTTCCCACAGTTCCTCATATCAAAAAAGTCCCTGAGAACAATCAGTTATGGCAATTAAACTGCCAGGGCAGTGTTTCTGTTGGATACAGAGGATTAACAATCCTGGCTTCTCTCCGGTTTGACTGCCAGGAACTCGGCGTGTCCTGGAGCAGCTGCTGCCAAGGGAAGGGCAAGGAAGGGCAAGGAGGAAGGAGACATTTCCCACAATCCTGGCTCTCCACTGACTCAGGCACAGGCAGGACTCAGTCACAACATGGCTATCACAACACTGATGTCACAGCAATGACATCACAGGGACAAGCTCGGTACAGCAAGATAACACTGCATTGCTCACCCCAGAGCCAAGAACCTTCAGATCCTGTCCAGTGTCCTTCAATAAAAGCTCCTCCACCTATCCCAAGCAGCCAACACAGGAGTGCACATGGCTCCAAATGCTCTGCAGGGCTATGGAACTGTCAGAGCTCAGCTGAGTGGCCCTTGCCCCTCTGCTCCCTGTGGGCAGGGGAAGGACAGGGCAGCTCAGCTGGGCCTTCCTCCTGCTCCCCCTCAACAACCCCCCCATGGATTCTCAGGGAATCACTGTGGAGGCAAGC